TTGGTGTCCAACATCTTGGGTACTCTATGCCGCCTCATGACACTAATGTACTGTGGTGGTGCAACCTCATTGGCAAATCTCGTTATAAAAGAGCTTTCCATATATTAGTTTCTTAATTAATAATAGGATTATTAGTTTATGGTGAAGTACTAAAAGAGCTTTAGGAAAAGAAAAGCTTTAACAAAGGATATAGAGAGAGAGAGAGAGAGAGAGAGAGAGAGAGAGAGAGAGAGAGAGAGAGAGAGAGGATGAGGCCGCTTCTATGGTTGTGGAGAGAGAGAGGGAGGAGGATGAGGCCGCTTCTATGGTTGTGGATAAGAGAAATAGATTCATATGTTTATTATATATATAGAGGGCTAGTATACTAGTGATTTGGATTAGATCCTTCGTTATTTTGTTCACGTACAGAGAAAGAGAAGTATCAGCAGAAGTCTTCATCCGATGACGCCGCTTGTTGCCGTTGATGGTCCGTTTAGTTCGCTCATTCAAGTTTTCAATTCGAGTTGAGATGTGATTTTATATAAGAGTTTTTTACTGGAATAAAAAAATTAGATATGACTGTTTCTGAAAGTTTTTTACTGTAATAAAATTCGAATCGGTGAAATGAACGGGACTAATAATTTCTAGCCTCTTGCCTTTTAGCATTAATTAATAATTATAAAATTATTAATTAATATATTATAAAATTATTGATAAGTATTAGAAATTAAAAACAAAAAAGAGAAAACAATTTTTACCGTTTTCTAATTCCTTCACAAAAATCATTCTCACTTTTTTTGTTTCTGTTTTTATTTTCAAAACATTTACTAAATAAACACAGTTTGCAGATCGTTCTCATTTTTATGCTTCAAAAAACGTGTAGAAACATTTTAAAAAATAAGTAAAAATCAATTCCAATCGCACCTCTTTTGTTTTTCATTTCAAACACTTCTTGTATTTTATTTTCTATATATTTTAATAAAAAGAGTGCTGTCTTGGGATGTGTAAGACTCGTTCAGTTCGCTGATTCAAATTGAGATGTGATTTTATGTGAAAATTTTTTACTGTAGCAAAAAAATTAGATGTGACTGTTTTTAAAACAATTTTACTGTAATAAAACTCAAATTAGTAAAATGAACGAGCCGAGTGCCAACCTAATTGAGATTCAAATTTCAACCTCGATAGTCGGTAGCTAATCTCGCCAATTTATAAAAAAATAAAAAATAAAAAAAAGCCCAAAACAAAAACAAAAAAAGAACAATATTGGTTCAGAGTTGCACTTTTTTTGAGTTGCCAACTTGCCCTGTTCATTTCACTGATTCGAGTTTTGCTACAATAAAAAGCTCTCAGAATCAGTCACATCTAACTTTTTTGTTACAATAAAAAGCTCTCACATAAAATCACATCTCAACTCGAATCAACGAACTGAACGGGCCCATGTACTATCAATTGTGATTGATGAAAGGAAAATTAGAGTGCGGTTCAAGAATCTGTCTCATGTTGGAATAATAGTTTGTAGTTCGTTATAGTATTTTTTTTATAAAAAATACACGCAAATTAAAAATAATTCTGAATCATAATTCTAAATCCATCAACCAAACATTCTCTTAATGTCTTCATCGGTGTCGAGTAATTAAATAATATATATATGTATGTCTATATATGTATGTACGTATTACGTATATATATGTATGTACATGTGTATATATATATGTGTGTGTGTGCACAGTTGAGCTACTGATTGGCTGTGATTTTTAACAACAGTAAACATTGGCCAAACCTAAGCTGTATAACTGGGGTTGTTCTTTTGGATTTTTGAGTTAGGGTGAGTTGAGTGATGATCTTAAGTTAAGTTTGAGTTATAACTTGAGTTGAAGTTATAACATGAGTTTGTGTTTGGATGTGCACATCTGAGTTATGATTTGAATTGAGAATCTTTTTGAGTTTGTGTTTGGGTGGGTCAAAATTTTTTTATTTAGATAGTATTTTAATAAAAACTTAATGGTGATGAAAAAATTTAATAGAGTAAATGGGTGGAGTTTTATTCGTCTTTTCGTTGTGATTGCATAGAAAAAAAATCATCTCAATCAGAATTAAAACGAAAAAGTTATTGCATTTTTAAGAATAGAAAAAATATTGTTTATTAACTTGAGTTCGAGTTTATAAACTCGAGTTGAAACTTGAACTCAAGTTTAGCCCCAAACTCGAGTTCAAACTCAAATTTTATAAAAGAACATCAACTTGAATAAAGTTGTAACTTGAGTTCAAACTTTTTCTGAGTTTCATTGTAAAAGAACAACCCCTAAAATATATAAGCTTTTAAAACAGGATGTGTGCAAAGAAAGCCAGAGTTTTATATATGATATATATATATATATACACACACACAAACACATGTATGTATGTGTGTACGTATGTACGCACGTAGTACTCTTTGGAAAGATTATCAGCTAGTCAGCGTACATGTCCAGCTGAATGAGTATATTTATCTTGAAGATCAAATCTACTAGGTAAGATTCAATAAAATTAATTAAGTATAAACTCACCCCAAGGAATTATTGCTTCATGGCTCTCTTTCCCATCCATCGTGAGATTGAGATTCGATTCTTAACATATGTCTTTATCATCTGAAGTAGTAAGGTTATGTGTTTGACCTTCCAAAAATAATGTCGGGTATGAGCGCGAGGACGCCACTGATGATAAACTCAGATTAATCTAAGACTCAAAAAAATAATTACAGATGATTACTAAGGTAATACTAATTATACATAAAGGAACACATCGGAGGTGGCCCTAAAAATCACATTCACGTACACATGGGAAGAAAATGTCTAAACTCATTCTCTCATTAACAGATAAGATCACGATGCCAACAACACATTCCCAATTTTGTTGTTTCATAGGAAAGTGTAATTTTGTCTTTTTGAGTTAAAGTCTTCCTTTGTGTACCATGTTTTCCTTTTGCATACGGCAAGCGATAATGATCACGTACTGGTCCTCGTTTTTATCCTCAACTCGCAATATATGAACATGATTTAATAGCTGCTGACTTGTACGTCAGCTGACCAAATTTTATAGTATAGAAGAATAATTTGTAGCTGCGACATTTATTGTTATTATATGTATAAGAAAGGCTGCGGGACACTTTTATATGCTACCAACGGAGAATACAATTACTTACGAATTTGAACGTTGAAATTTCAATGAAACGATATATTTGTGTAACTTAAACAATATATGATTACTTACAAACTTTAAATATGGAAATAGTAAAATAAGAAGATATATAGACATGCAATGAGACTCAGGCATTGCATTAAAATTACTTACAAACTTTAAATAGACGTTTAGTTCATGGATTAAAACTATGTGATTAGAACCATTTTCGATTTACATGTATTTTTTGTGAAAAAAAATACTGTAATGAACCACGAACCATGATTCGAATCAGAGGACGAATCTCTCAATCAAACAACCTCTCAATATGGAAATAGTAAAATAAGAAGATATATAGACATGCAATGAGACTCAGGCATTGTGATAAAATTAATATATACACACACGTAAACGGAAGCAAGAATGTTACGTTAACTTGTCATTTTCTCTTTACGATAAAAAAGAATTAATTGAGAAGGAATTTAAATGTTTTGTTAGTGTCTCAATTAGTGTGTAACCAATCAAATCATATCACATCATTTCTTAATAAACACAAAAAAATTAGTTAAAAAGTAATTTAAATTTTTTATGAGGCTCACTAATGTTGTTTTGTTTCCTTTATCATTTCTTCTCTAGTCTAGAAAAGAAAATATAACTTTTTTTTTTATTGGGCAATCTTTCTATTTGAGTGACATTCCCCTTATTTTAGGTAGAGGGAAAAAAAGTGGAGGGTCGATAGTTACAATTGATTCGTCATTCATTCATCAAGAGGCAAAATCATTAGTACAATTGCTTGGACGAACAGTTTTAAAGTTGATCATGTTGCTGTTCGGAGCCAAACAAGAAAAAAGTTCATGTTGCTGTCGGAAGCCTGTGTGTCCTTGTCTGAGACCTTAAAAGTCGAATGGTAAAAGTCAGCATAACATGCATTATGACCTTTTTGACAAGGCAGTGACAAATATGCATCTATCATACATATTTTCCATGATCCGCAATTTGCTCTATATTGTGACATATCTCTCTCAAGATGCAACTTTTATTTAATACGAACTTTATGGTTGGGTAAAAGTAGAGTATTGGCTCCATGGGAAGTCTTATTTGTTTGTTGTTCCCGCTCACGTGTGCAGTGACGGATCCGTGATCTCATTTTAGTGAGTACACAACAAAATTTTAAAAATTAAAGAAACAAAAAATCTAATGTTGCTTGATTATAAATTTCTGTTTAATATTGTCTGAAAAATAAGAGTTATCCTTGATTGGTTTTTATATTTGAAAAGTTTTGACACCATAATCTTATTGTCCAAATATAAAGATAAAATCTTAATCAATGCACCCAACTAAAATGTCATTTACTCAACGATTTACCCTTTTATTGGTTGCAGTTACCTTTTATATAAGAATAAAAATAATAATAATTTTAGAAAGGTGGCATTACTTATTTATGTGTCATTTCAAAAAAAAAAAAAATGTTTGAACGGGATTAGTAATCCTACAGAGACTGGACTATTTTATCCTCTTCAAATTAGCCATCCAAACCTAAACTGGACACCAAACATGGGATAAAAATCACTTTATCCAATCCCAAGTTTTCCAAACATATCCCTAATCTCTTAACAGTCCCAAGACACTGGAGGATTGAATTGCAGATCAACCTATGAAGTTTTGCAAGTAACTGATCCATTTTACATGCCTCATTAAGAGAGATGAAACGAAGACAATGAACTGATTCCAACAATTATTATTGGCTTAATTTGTGGGCTTAGCAGAACTAACCTCCATTTATGAATCAAACTACAATTGGTTTTGCCTTCTTCCTGTTGACAATTGAAATGATTGAAATTCTTTTGTGCAAAAGGGAAGGAGAATTTTCACCTTGACAACCGATGTAAAATAGCCAGAAAAAAGTGTTGCAATGCAGAAAATACAAGTCAACTACCTAATTTGAAAGCATCCACAAAAAGGCCTAAGCAGACACCAGCTTTCCAGTAGTTCATCATAACTACAAAAGACTGCAATCTCCCTGCAGAAAGAGAAGGTGGCTTTCTATACATGAGCATGCCAATGCCCTCGATGGCCGCCACGACGATGCCTGCAACTAAAACATCCCAATCACCCGTCTGTCCGAGGATTGTAGCCAATGCATTTGCCGTGTAGAAACCCAAAAGAACCAGAAATATCTTCATGGGAAAGTTCTTTCTAGCCGAGTTCAGCTTCTTCAATAGCTCCTTGCCACCCGCACTCACTATCCTACCCAACCGAGTGCGACCCAGATTGGACCCGTCATCGTTTACACTCTCTTGTTCACCGTTTCCAGGAAGTCCACCCGTGTCCAAGGCAAAGCCTAGTTTCCACCTATGTTTTGTTGTCAAAAAGCTGTATCATGATTCCATGAACAACTATAAGCCAATGGAACTTTCATAAGGGTTCGACATTAGACTAGTATATGCACAAACGTGTCTATGTAGGAAAATTATAATATTTACAATTTAGATCTCACAGAAGGCGGGCCTTGGCACCGTGGAGGGAGCGCTTGCGTTTGCACCCGGGGTCCAAGGTTTGAATCCCGGAAACGGCCTCTCCTTCGGGGGGTAAGGCCGCGTACATATGGGATTGAGCTTTTCCCCGAGCCTATCATAGTACGGGAGCCTCTTTGGCACTGGGGTCCGCCTTTTTTTTTTTTTTTTACTATTTAGATCTCACAAATACGTAGTATCAAATTATTCTTTGAAAGTAATTACTCACTAAGATGCAATGAAAAATCAATAGTGTAACTCTCAAATAGAACAAAATGTCCAAACATTCAACTACTGATTATTTTTCTATACATGAGCATGCCAATGCCCTCGATGGCCGCCACAACAATGCCTGCAACTAAAACATCCCAATCACCCGTCTGTCCGAGGATTGTAGCCAATGCATTTGCCGTGTAGAAACCCAAAAGAACCAGAAATATCTTCATGGGAAAGTTCTTTCTAGCCGAGTTCAGCTTCTTCAATAGCTCCTTGCCACCCGCACTCACTATCCTACCCAACCGAGTGCGACCCAGATTGGACCCGTCATCGTTTACACTCTCTTGTTCACCGTTTCCAGGAAGTCCACCCGTGTCCAAGGCAAAGCCTAGTTTCCACCTATGTTTTGTTGTCAAAAAGCTGTATCATGATTCCATGAACAACTATAAGCCAATGGAACTTTCATAAGGGTTCGACATTAGACTAGTATATGCACAAACGTGTTTATGTAGGAAAATTATAATATTTACGATTTAGATCTCACAGAAGGCGGGCCTTGGCACCGTGGAGGGAGTGCTTGCGTTTGCACCCGGGGTCCAAGGTTCGAATCCCGGAAACGGCCTCTCCTTCGGGGGGTAAGGCCGCGTACATATGGGATTGAGCTTTCCCCCGAGCCTGTCATAGTACGGGAGTCTCTTTGACACTGGGGTCCGCCTTTTTTTTTTTTTTTTACTATTTAGATCTCACAAATACATAGTATCAAATTATTCTTTGAAAGTAATTACTCACTAAGATGCAATGAAAAATCAATAGTGTAACTCTCAAATAGAACAAACGAGTAAGTTCAAATGTCTTCGGACAAGTTAATGAAATTTCATAAGAATGCAAAACATTTAAATAAATCAAATTTTACCGAAAAGGAGGAATCTAAAAGTTGAAAAATACACCTTCTTCGGGGAAAAGGCACAGACTTTACGCTGATCCTTGTATTTTGTACATTCAAACTTGGTTCGCTACACCGGCCACAAAAAGTGAAACTTGCTACTGTAATATTTGACCTATCAAAGGCTTCAATCCCCATTATTGTAAAACCGGACTGGGAAATCACAGTTCCTCTTTGACATGCCATGAACTGAAAAAACAGAAAACTATTTAGTACACAAATTCACAATCCATGGTGAACTGATTTCCCATGGCTTGTTCAAGCTTACAATCATCACTTTTATACATTAATGAGATGCAGGGCACTTTGAAAGTTAAATCACCTATGTTCCAATGGATCGACAAGGAAGTCATGAATAACAAATAAACTAACCAAATAGTCACAACTAAAACATAGGACTTAAGGATTTTTACAGTTTCAACAATGGCTCTCCAAGAGAGACATCAATGGAGCCTTTTGTTTTCTATTTTCTTTTATCCTAAGAATAAAAACAACTGAAAAAGCATAGGGAGAGAAATTTACACGACTACCAGAATGGTTTTCTCACCAAGTTCCTTCACTACACAATTATCAGCACAGCAATGCTAGACCTTGATACAACCAATATATATCTTAACTAACTGTCCTTTTCACTATCCTGAATTAAATTTCTGCGAAAGAAAAAAAAAATCGAACTATATAACCACGCCATGATGGCTGATGCATAGTGAAGAAGTGACAGAAAACTACCTACACCAATTATTATTATTATTATTTAGAATTTTGACAAGATAAAAAGAAAGACGCTGTATTTTACCCCATACAACCAGGCCATGAATTGATGTGTGAACTGTGAGTAACAAGAATGCAGTTAATAAAACATCATATACAATTCTTTGGAGCTGTTTAAGTAGTGCATGTTTTTGAATGTTAGATCTTGTCAAAATCACATATGAAAACTAAAGAAACTTAATGATAAGAACTTGTCAGTTAGTTAGTTAGAGAAGTTAGTAGTTTGTTAGAATCGGGTTAACAGTAAGCTATAGTGGGTTAGTAGAGTAAATAAGTGGTTTAGTTGTTAATGTGGGGTTATGGTCAGATTAATAGGAAATTTGGGAAACCCTTGGGACTTAGGAGAGGCGGGTAGGCTCTCGAATCTCTACCTAAGTCGGGTGCGTGAGTTTTCTTTCTAATCTTTCAATTAGTTCATCAATAAAGTTCTATTCTTCCTTCAAATCTCTGGGTTTGTTAGAGTATTATCAATTGAAAAACATGTGTTGTACTACTGGTAGGCTCCTTTTCTTCTTCTTCTTCTTCTTCTTGTTCTTTTTTTTTTTTTTTTTTTTAAAAAAAAAAAAAAAAAAAAAAAAAAAAATCCATGAAAGAAACTTTTCTTCTTCTTTTTCTTTTTTTTTTTTTTTTAAGAAGAAAGAAAGTATCAAAAGATACAATCCATGATGGAAAGAAATCCAACCAAATAATGTCTCTTTCTATCCAAAGAGCAAGAATAAATCATGTGATGTTAGGATTGCGATAACTTCAGAATATGAGTTAAGCAAGATGTTAATAAGGATATCAGGATTTATATTCAACCAAAGTTGAATGTTAACCGTAGTTAAATTACCAGCGTATGTAGAGGATTGCAGTATTCAACCAAGGTTGATTTTGATTTTTTTATTTACTTTATATTTATATATTCTTTTTATTCTTTTATTTATGTAAGAGGGAATAAGGAAGGAAGGCCTTCTTTATCAGCCTCCTTTTAAAACATAGCAAAGTAAAACACTTTTAGGGAATCAAAACCACTAAAAACCAGTGATAAAAATAAGACTAGTTGTGATAAGATATAAAAGCAATTATTGACTTTTGAAATATAAAAGTAACTGATGAAATGCAGTTATCCTAATAAGAGGGAAATTTTTGAAATGTTTGAGAATGAAAGGAGGGAAACTTTTTTAATAACTATTCAAACGTAACTGTTTATATTACCAGACATTTGCAATTAGGATAATAGTAATAAGATTTAACATTAAAAAGAGATTGAAATATATCTTTTAAAGAATTATGAAGATGAGAGAGTAACTTATGAGGAAAGTTTTCTCTTTTTTTGTTTTTTTGAAGGACTTATGAGGAAAGTTAAGTAATGTAGCATTTAGAAAATCATCAACTTTTCTGTTATTTAATGATAAGAACTAAGTATAATGATAAGAAGTTGTGATCATAATAACTAGATAATATGAGTAAAACTCTAAGAAAAGAACTATTGAAACGCCCTTAAGGGAAACTAATTTAAACTCTTACATGAAGAGACTAGTGAAACTCAAGAAGAAAGAATATTATACTGACGAAAGAAAATTGTGATGTACGAGAATAATATCAGTTGTAACAAAACAAAGAGAGAAAATCTAAGAGTAAAGTAACAGTGATACAAGACAATGACATAGGTTATTACATACAGATAAACAGCAACATGTATAGCAGAATGTGAGTCAATAGGAAAAATCAATTAGGTAAGGAACAAGCATAAAACCTTCGCATAATGCAACAAGTGTAGAAACTAACCAAAGAAACACCCAGATAAACATGGATAAACTCAAAGATATTCCAGGAAAAAAAATGCCATATAGTGGGAACACATATGGATTACAGAATAAGCTCCTACCCAATCTAGTTAACAAACAAAATAAGAGGAAAATAATCCTAATCTATACAAATCATTAAAAAACCGTTCACACAGTGCTTAATCCAAACACTTGATCCATAACATATTCAGGTCAGTATCAATACTACTATACTAGTATAGTATAGACATAAATTAGTCAGGAAAACATAAAAGAAATTGTAGAACTTCACTACCTTCTAAAGTAATGGGAAATAATCAATACATCATACTAAAACAATCAAATTATGCAAAGTAGTACTATACTCTAATTGAATTACCCAAAGAAAAAACAAATTTACATAAACAAACTTATGAATGTCAAAAACAAATTCTTAAAATAAAGCAATATATGAACAAGCAATGACAAAAAAATACTTGTAAATCTATGAGATGAGACTCAAACCGAGAGGATCCAATTAGTGATTAAAGGCAATGCTGCATTAGAACTGTACAGAATACTTCCAATCAAGGGAGATCGGAGATATCACTCAGCACCAAACAAGAGTCGAACACAACTTTCAAGATAAAGTTAAGGATTGAAAGGTATAGTAGCATATATATTTTCCATAGGCAGGCAGAAAGAGAAGACAAAATTGATTATACGGACAGAAAAAGAACCACATAGGTTATAAGAAAACGGTACAAAGGATTCATATATGGAAGAGTTAAGGTTACATAATACACCTAAAAAGAGAGAATCTGTTAGATT